CCCGTTCATTACATCAAAATCAATAACATTTAGTCCTCCTTCAACCAATGATTTAACGACATCATCTTTTCCAATGTAATGGCATCTATTCCTCCAAATGAATTTCAGAAGAATATCATTAGTTCTCTTAATTAACTCCCTTGATACCGGCAGAGAAGAGGCCGGGTAAATTATTCTAGATAGACCCTCCATTTTGGACAATAATACTCTACCAAATAAAGAAATGTCTCTCCTTAACCAACTGTTTAAAATTGATTTGCAATGATCCAATTTCTTCCCAAAGTTCAAATTCTCATTTATGTTCCTATTCTTGGAAATAACTATACCTAAATATTTAACCTCTGATTTAATGGTAATATTATGTAGGGAATGCATTGTTGGGTTGTGTAGTGGCAATAGTTCACATTTATTTAAATTTAAGTTTAAACCTGAAACAGAGAACTGATTTATTAAATCTAGAGCTAATGGAATTTGTCCTTCATTTTTTTAAAACAGAGTGGTATCGTCAGCTAATTGACTGATTTTAATTTGTTTATTCAACACTGAAATACCTTGGATATCACTGTTCTTAATACGGATAGAAAGAATTTCTGCAACCAGAATAAACAGTAAGGGGGAGCATCCACATCCTTGTCGTATCCCTCTTTTAATCTCAAACCTACGGCAAGTGCCTCTCCCATAAGTAACCGAACTATTTATTCCTTTATATAAGATTGCAATTGCTTTAATAAATTTATCGCCAAATCCAAAATGACGTAGAGTTTTTAGCATAAATGTGTGTTTCAAGGAGTCAAATGCTTTATAAAAATCTAAAAAAAGAATAAAACCCTCTTTTTGTATCATATCTTTATACTCTATTAAGTCTAATACTAATCTAATATTATTGTGAATAGACCGTCCCTTCAAAAAACCTGATTGTGATTCACTAATAACTGCAGACAGGCCTTTTTTAAGTCTAGCAGCGATGGCTCCTGAGAATATTTTATAATCAACGTTAAGAAGTGTTATTGGTCTCAAGTTGTCCAACAACCTTTGATCTTTTCCAGACTTAGGAATTAAGGTTATTAGCCCCTGCTTCATACTTACTGTTAGTTCACCATTCTCCAGACATTCCTTAATTACTTTAAAAAGGATTTCCCTTATATCAGCCCAAAAGTGTTGATAAAAATTGGATGTGAGGCCGTCTGTTCCAGGGCTTTTGTTCAGGGACATTTTGCCAATAGATGTATCTAATTCTTCAATCCTAAAATCAGACTCACATGAACTTTTCCAGGAATCATCAATTTGTGGCGTGAAATCTTTAATTTGAACAAATATTGAATCATCATCATCCCCAAAAGAACTTGAGTCATAGAGGGTAGAGTAAAAGTTGAAAATCTCATTTTCAATGTTCTTCGGATCTTTGCATTCTGTTCCATTGATTAAGAGACAAGCTACTGAATTTCTTTCCTGTCTAGTTTTTTCTAACTTGCAAAAATATGCTGAATTATTTTCCCCTTCCTCTAACCATTTTGCTTTGGATCTTATAAAAACTCCTTTAGCTTTATCCAAATAAAGTTTATCTAGCTGATTTTGTAGCTGAATTAACCTATTCTTATTCTGGTCATTATCATCCAATGAACCACAGTATTGCCAAATATCCCTCAGTATGTTACTTTCATATTCTTTTCTTTTTCTCTCTAGTGTTTTGCTAAAGTAAATTGAAAATTCTCTAATTTTAAATTTAATATATTCCCATTTACTTACATAATTTTCAAATGTTTCATCCCTTTCAATACTATGAATAATTTCCCTTGCTTTTGAACAATAGTCCTTGTTAACCAATAAATTTGCATTGAATTTCCAGTAGCTCTTGTTATTATGTGATCTAGTGGATGGTTCTAATATTAGGATTATGCAGCAGTGATCTGAAAGTGGAGCTTTAGAGATGGTTACAGTTGACACAAGCCTGGATATTTCAAAACTAACAAGCCAGTAATCTATTCTAGATTTGATACTATCATTTGGTTTAAACCATGTGAACTCTTTTCTATCAGGATTTTTCTCTCTCCATATATCAATGAGATTATTTCTTGCCATGAAATTATAGACAATCTCATTGAGTCTTGATCTACCTGTTCTTGAGGGCCATCTATCATTCCATTCATCTGGACTCATATTCCAGTCCCCCCCAAACACCAAATTATTTGTGGGATAAAGAATTTTAAGTTCCCTTATGACATCGGTTATATTAGCCAGTAACTTTTTATTTTGCATTTCGTTATTGTATCCATAGACATTTGTAACAAAAAACAACCTATCCTCTGTTCTTACCACCACAATTAACCAATGTCCTGCTACATCTGCTCTGTGTGTTAAAATCTCTCCTGGAAACTTGTTAAAGCAGATAGCGACCCCACCTGACCTATTTGAGCCATGACTGAATAACATCCTGCCGCCCCATTGATTAGCCCAGAACGTTTCGTCCACTTCTGCTGAATGAGTTTCTTGTAACAGAAAACAGTGACATTTTTGCCCTTTACAAAACAAAAAGAGTGCTTTTCTTTTCACAATGTCTTTGATGCCCCGAACATTTAAAGAACCGAATGAAAACTTTCTATTCATAACGAGAACACTTAAAAAAAAACAAAAACAAAACAATTATAGGTTGAAATTCTCACCCTACTAACAGCAGATAGCTTCCTTCCCTAATAAATCAGTGTGTCCCGTCTTTATGTGATCTGAAAACTTCTCCATCTGCCTCTCTTAGCCGTCTCCAATCCTACGTCCCTCAATGAAGCCGTGTGGACCTCGGAAAAAGGCTTGTTTCCCTGCTCGCCTGGCCTGCTCCATCTGAGGCCACAGCCTTCTCCTTTCCTCCAGATCTTCTTTTGGCATCATCTCAGCAAGCTGGATTCCTTCCTCTTTGCAAACTACCGAGCCTTTGCTTCACTTCCAGATATCTTCTTTCACTCGTCTGTGGGTGAACAGAATCAAGACGTGTCGTTTTCTGTTGTCGCTCTTCCTTCCAAGCCGATGCACTATGTCCACCGCCTCTTCAATTTTCCCCTTTAGGTCGGGGACAATTTTCTGGAGAATGTGGACCACCCTGGTGCGGATGTCCTCTCCCTCTCTTTCCTCCAGACCTTAATGCGGAGACACCACTTCATTCTATGTCTTTCTTGCTCTCGGACTCTCTCTGTCAACTCAGAAACTTCTTTCTTCAAGGACACATTTTGCTCCTCCAATTTTTTCACGTTTTTTTTGCACTCCTGCACTTCTTCTGCGTTAAACTGGACCGCTTTTGCTAAATTAGCAAGCATTGTGCCACTTTGCCTCATTTGCTCCTTTAGATCCACAAGCTGACTCTCCACTCTCTTTTCAAGATTTAAAATAGCTTGAAGAATGGCTTCATTTGATACAGGAGATTCGCTTGTTTCATCTGGCTTTGTTTTCTTCCCTGTCTGAGTCTTACTCGGAGTAGAAGGAGCAGAGTTGCCTTCACGCTCCCTCTTGTTTAACTGAGACACCTCCATCGCATAGTCATGCTCCATATTCTTACCTCCTTGTTCAAGATTTGGCTCTCTTTCAAGTTCTCTAGGATCCAGCTTAAGCTTGGCAGGTTTTATGACTTTCTGCGGCTCCATGATAAACTTTTAGGCTGGAAAAATTACCGAAGTTTGGGCTAAATTTTGGGACCTTCTGGAAAGAACGTCTGCTCAGTGCGCCATCTTGACTCCGCCCCTGCTCAAGTAGAACTTCACATGATGCTCCACATTCCTCATTTTAGGGAAGAAAGGGCTTCTTGTCATAAAATACAAATTGTTTCTCGTAATTTTACGACTTTACTCTCTTAATTTTAACAACTTTATTCTCGTAATGTTGCCACTTTATTCTTGTAATGTTGCTACTTTATTTTCGTAATTTTATGACTTTATTCTCGTAATTTTAACAACTTTATTCTCGTAATGTTGCGACTTTATTTTCGTAATTTTATGACTTTATTCTCGTAATGTTGCAACTTTATTCTCGTAATTTTATGACTTTATTCACGTAATGTTGTGACTTTATTCTCTTAATTTTAACAACTTTATTCTCGTAATGTTGCAACTTTATTCTCGTAATTTTATGACTTTATTCACGTAATGTTGTGACTTTATTCTCTTAATTTTAACAACTTTATTCTCGTAATGTTGCCACTTTATTTTCGTAATTTTATGACTTTACTCTCGTAATGTTGCCACTTTATTTTCGTAATTTTATGACTTTATTCTCTTACTTTTAAGAACTTTATTCTCGTAATGTTGCGACTTTATTCTCGTAATTTTATGACTTTATTCTCTTAATTTTAACAACTTTATTCTCGTAATGTTGTGACTTTATTCTCGTAATTTTATGACTTTATTCACGTAATGTTGTGACTTTATTCTCTTAATTTTAACAACTTTATTCTCGTAATGTTGCCACTTTATTTTCGTAATTTTATGACTTTACTCTCGTAATGTTGCCACTTTATTTTCGTAATTTTATGACTTTATTCTCTTACTTTTAAGAACTTTATTCTCGTAATGTTGCGACTTTATTCTCGTAATTTTATGACTTTATTCTCTTAATTTTAACAACTTTATTCTCGTAATGTTGCCACTTTATTTTCGTAATTTTATGACTTTATTCTCTTACTTTTAAGAACTTTATTCTCGTAATGTTGCGACTTTATTCTCGTAATTTTATGACTTTATTCTCTTAATTTTAACAACTTTATTCTCGTAATGTTGTGACTTTATTCTCGTAATTTTATGACTTTATTCACGTAATGTTGCGACTTTATTTTCGTAATTTTATGACTTTATTCTCACAAGGTTATTACTTTATTCTGGTAATAGAGTAAAAGCCAGTCTCTAGCCTGGCTCTAATTCTCCTTCGTACCATAGAATTGAGAATAGGCGCAGGTGTTTTAATCAGGGCAGAGTAGCCCCTCCCCCCGCCGCTGTGTTTTTTGGCTCCTCGGTGTTTCCGTACTCGCACCGGAGGGGCAGAATGAGCTTCCTCCCCCTCCCTGGCTGAGTGTGGGCGGTGTGGGAGTCTCTGAAGGGGAGGGGAGCCTCCGTGAGCCTCAGACCGCTGCTGGAAACACCGAGAGCCTCCTGCTCCTCCAGCCCGGAGCTCCGCGCGCTCTGACGGTAATGATTGTTTTTCAACATGGAGGAAATAAAGTGTTTTTTCTGAGGTTAGCTTCTCCAGCTAGCAGGCTAAGGAGCTAACTGGCTAGCGGCCGTTAGCTCCGTCCGGTTCTTCCTTCACATCTGGGAGCTTCTTTCGGTTTAAAGTTAGTTTGTTCTGCTGTGAAGCTGAAATGAGGACTTTAATGGAGTTAGCATGGCGGTGTTAGCATGGCGGAGTTAGCATGGAAGCTGTTAATGATTAAACGCTGATTTCGGACTCTGGTCCGAACTGAACCGAACCCTGATTGGCTCGTTATCTGCGCTCATCTCAGACTTTGAAACTGTTTGCGTCATTTGAAGCGTTTGCGCTACATTGAAAGTTTTTTTTCCCCAAGAAGAAGAAGAACAAAGAAAAGTTTCCCTCCGGGTTCAGGCTTCACCGGAAGCTGCGTAGCAGCTGGTTCGGGTCAAACTGCTCGGATCTCTGGGAATCAGCTGGTTTCAGGCTGGTTTGGGTTTCAGTTTCCTCCTCGGAACAAAAGGCCCAGCAGGGCCTCCTCCTCTCGCTGCTCCTGCTCCTCCTGCTGTTCCTCCTCCTTTAGTTTCGGGGTGAACATGTCTCCTGTCAGTTGGACCAGCCTGATGCTCTCAGTGGGCAGATGTTGGCAGAACATGGATCAGAACCCTGGCTAACTGGACCCAGAGGATGAAGGATGAAATACTTCCTCATTCCTGTCCGCATGTTTACCCTCAGTGGGTCTGTGGATCCGGTGTCGGACCGGTTCTGTTCCCTGCTCGGTTCTGGTGGGTCGCCTCCTGATGCTGCTGTTGACCGCAGCGTTCTTCCAGGGAGGGGGGGTTCTGTCTCCCTCTGGGTCTCCCTCTGGGTCTCCTCTTTCTCCCTCAGGAGACTCCAACCCCCAGGCGGCTGATGGATGGGTGGTTTCCATGGTGAGGAGGCGGGTACCCGTTGTCGTGCCAACGGCCGCTGGCCTTCCTCCCATCCCTGTTTCTAATGTTTGTTCAGCCTGTTACTGGGAAACGTGTTGACGTAGCGCTGGCTGAGCAGGGCTCAGGCCCGGGTTCTGGTTCTGGTCTGACCCGGCAGCTGTTTATATGGGATCCAGCTGTGACAGAAACATCTGCCTAGTTTTAAAACCCAGTCTGGACTTGAACTTGGAGTCCTGATTATCTCCTGAGCTGCTGTTATCATCCAGCTGAAGGCAAACAGAGAGGACCTGCTGCTGCTGGGAGGATCTACAGGTCGCCATGGAGACGATGACCCGGCCCTGCCAGCAGGAAAACAAGGAGCGGAAAGGTTTCTGCTCTGGATCAGAGCTGGGGTCAAAGGTCATACTGTTACTTTGAAAGCATCCAAGTTCAGTTTAACCTGAGATCATCTTCACTGATCCTTCATCTCCTGCTGGGTATCGATGCTCCTCTCTGCTTCGCTTCTGGTTCCGACGGACGGGATGTGATGTTCTGGTTCCGACGGACTGGGTGTGATGTTCTGGTTCCGACGGACTGGGTGTGATGTTCTGGTTTCGACGGACGGGATGTGATGTTCTGGTTCCGACGGACTGGGTGTGATGTTCTGGTTCCGACGGACTGGGTATGATGTTCTGGTTCCGACGGACTGGGTATGATGTTCTGGTTCCGACGGACTGGGTATGATGTTCTGGTTCCGACGGACTGGGTGTGACGTTGTGGTTCCGACGGACTGGGTGTGACGTTGTGGTTCCGACGGACTGGGTGTGATGTTCTGGTTCCGACGGACTGGGTGTGATGTTCTGGTTCCGACGGACTGGGTGTGATGTTCTGGTTCCGACGGACTGGGTGTGATGTTCTGGTTCCGACGGACGGGATGTGATGTTCTGGTTCCGACGGACTGGGTGTGATGTTCTGGTTCCGACGGACGGGATGTGATGTTCTGGTTCCGACGGACTGGGTGTGATGTTCTGGTTCCGACGGACGGGATGTGATGTTCTGGTTCCGACGGACGGGATGTGATGTTCTGGTTCCGACGGACGGGATGTGATGTTCTGGTTCCGACGGACGGGATGTGATGTTCTGGTTCCGACGGACTGGGTGTGACGTTGTGGTTCCGACGGACTGGGTGTGACGTTGTGGTTCCGACGGACTGGGTGTGACGTTCTGGTTCCGACGGACTGGGTGTGACGTTCTGGTTCCGACGGACTGGGTGTGATGTTCTGGTTCCGACGGACTGGGTGTGATGTTCTGGTTCCGACGGACTGGGTGTGATGTTCTGGTTCCGACGGACTGGGTGTGATGTTCTGGTTCCGACGGACGGGATGTGATGTTCTGGTTCCGACGGACTGGGTGTGATGTTCTGGTTCCGACGGACGGGATGTGATGTTCTGGTTCCGACGGACTGGGTGTGATGTTCTGGTTCCGACGGACGGGATGTGATGTTCTGGTTCCGACGGACTGGGTGTGATGTTCTGGTTCCGACGGACTGGGTGTGATGTTCTGGTTCCGACGGACGGGATGTGATGTTCTGGTTCCGACGGACTGGGTGTGATGTTCTGGTTCCGACGGACGGGATGTGATGTTCTGGTTCCGACGGACGGGATGTGATGTTCTGGTTCCGACGGACTGGGTGTGATGTTCTGGTTCCGACGGACTGGGTGTGATGTTCTGGTTCCGACGGACTGGGTGTGATGTTCTGGTTCCGACGGACTGGGTGTGATGTTCTGGTTCCGACGGACTGGGTGTGATGTTCTGGTTCCGACGGACTGGGTGTGATGTTCTGGTTCCGACGGACTGGGTGTGATGTTCTGGTTCCGACGGACTGGGTGTGATGTTCTGGTTCCGACGGACTGGGTGTGATGTTCTGGTTCCGACGGACTGGGTGTGATGTTCTGGTTCCGACGGACTGGATGTGATGTTCTGGTTCCGACGGACTGGGTGTGATGTTCTGGTTCCGACGGACTGGGTGTGATGTTCTGGTTCCGACGGACTGGGTGTGATGTTCTGGTTCCGACGGACTGGGTGTGATTTACGCCGTCTGCTATTTTACTGAGACAGAGATGGAACCAGAACCGCTGCGTCTGATCTGGACCCGACCCAAAGTGCTCATAATGCATCATGTTCCTCTGAGAGCTGATTAGCCTAAGTGCTGCTGATGATGATGATGATGATGGTGATTAACGTGCGTTTCCCGTTTATCAGAATCCAGAACTTTTCTCTCCATGACTGAATCCCAGCAGCGGTTCTCCAGATTCTGACCCGATTCAGGCTCAGGCTGAGATCAGAGGTGTTGCTGTGTGCAGGTGATCCTCTGGGAGCCTTCAGTGGGATTAGGATTAGGATTAGGATCAGCAGGCTGCAGCTTTAACTACTGCTAATTAATTAGCTTCAGAGGTCATTGCGGCGCCATCTTTAGGCTGAAACCGTTTCTATGCTTCATGTTTCTGTTGCTCCGGTTCTGACGGACCTCCTTCTTTCTCTGTCTTCCAGAACCCTGCTGGACCCCCCGCTTCCCCTCCACCCACTGGGCCTGATGTGGTAGAATAACGCCTCTTTTTCACTGAGCTGACGCCCTTCTCCACCAGACCCCCCCTGGCTGTAATCCCCCGGGCGGCGGCGGGCCTTCAGGGCGGCTGCACATGCCGCCTTTTGTCTGCGGCGCTGTTGTTGGCCTGGAGGCCATGAGGGAGAGCAGACGGCAGCATAAAGAGCTGACAGCAGGAGAATGAGCTTCCCAGGCCGGAGGATGGGGGGAGGAACCACGTGACGCCGCCATCATCACACCCCCGAGACCAGAACCGGACCGCCGGTCCAACTGGGACGAGTCGCAACAGAAACTGTTTCCTGCTGCTGGTCGGACGTTTAGCAGCCGGCTGCCTAAAGTGCCTTTTTTCTGAGATTTTTTGTTTGTTTTGGAACTCATTTTTGACCCCACTGCTGTCGCCATGGTTACACTACAGTCCAAATGGCGCTTCCTGTTCATGTTCCTGGGCATCCAGCTGGTGGTCATGGCACTGCTTTCCCGGGAGGGATACCAGAAACGGGTCAGCTACTTTATCCGGATCTTCCGTAAGGGCGACGCCACAGGACCGCCGCTCCAGAACCGCACGGGCGGCGCCTTGGGTGGCGGGGACGTCTACGCCAACCTGTCGCACCCGTCCAGAGGACATAGCCATGGAGACGAAATGCCTTACTGTCCAAAGACGTCCCCCCTGATAGGTGAGTCCCTCAGAGGAATAGACTGCGGCGCCCTCTAGCGGCCGTTACTGAAGGCGATTATTAATCTGTCGAGTAATAATCGGATAACCAACGTTTTCTTAAAGAAAACTTTTAACCAGGTGAAACTAAAACTTCTCTACTTGAGTTCTGGATTATAGAGCAGGTTGAAAAGGAAAAACGTTCTTTATCTTAAAGGTAATATATATTCTTTTTGGTATATTTACTGTTTCTCTGTCGGCTAAAGGTCCGTTTTAGAGTCCAGTTAACGATTAATCGATTACTAAATTAGTTGACGATTATTTTTAATAATCAATTAATCGGATTTCAGTCCTAAATATGACCTGACCGTTTATCGGGCGCCATAGCAGTGTCCCTCATAGCTAGCAGGTACAGGCTATATTGGCTAACCAAAACAAAGCTTTTAAGCTATGCTAATGTAGCTAGTGCTATGTGAAATATCAGCAGTACTCCACACAGCGTTACTACTTTAATATAGATTACCATGACTGCCTTTGATGCTGAAATACAATTATTTTTATCATGTCATGTTGGTGATGCTTTAAATATCACCACAGAAGAAGAAAATTGAACCATTGAACACGGCTGTTTCTCTCTGTGTACTTGTGCAGCAGCTTCCAGGTTAGCACTCAGAGTATTTAGTTAAAAGTTCTCTTTTCTGTTGCTGTTGTTCAATAAAAGTACGTTTTCAGATCATTGGAGGCGAGCTTCACTATATGGAACGTTTACTGATTTAGTGCGTAATTTATAAAAAGTTCTGATGTTCAGAACCGCGGCAACCAGTGGAGCTCTGAGGCTAACAGCGGCCAGGACTAATGTTAGCCCGTCCGCGACGGCCATGGCTAACGTTAGCCGGTCTGCAGTGGCCATGGCTAATGTGGATGGCTAATCACAATGTGGTGATGTCATCAGTACGCTGCTGTTCCAGTTGACCCAGATTTATTCTGCGTGTCTCGTTCTCCCCGAGTCCAGACTTTCCTGGGTTCTTCTCTAGAACAGACTTGGTGAGAACCCGAGTCCGTACTCGTGTTTTTGTGAATTGAGAAACGGCCCAAATATTTTATCTTTGCTAATCGTTGCGATCAGTGTAACATTAGATGAGTCAGAGGCGTCTGAACAGACCTCAGGCTATTTACTGCCACCATCTGGTGAGGAGTGTAACTGCTTAGTCTTCCAAGCTTTTATTTTCACAGAAAAACATTTGATGTTAAACGTATTAAAGAAAGAAGAAGCAAAACTTTTTTCCTGTTTGCAGCTTCAGGGGCCTTCAGAGGTTTTTAATCTGATCCTGCTGCTGAACAGCCATCATCTGCCTTCCTGAAGGTTTTATTTCTCTGGAGGCTGCTTCTCAGCCTGGTTCCATAATCAGCTGCCAGGCCTTCATGAATGCAGATCATCTAACGCTGCCTTCAGGGATCTGCATCCTGGATTTATTCCCTCTGAGCTCATTTGCATCTTCAGCTGCTTCTCTCAGCTGTGCTGCGTGCCGCTCGCACGATCTCTGCTTCCTGACTCCTCGCCCTGACTTATGTAAGCGCTCTGGGTCTGCAGTGGACGCCTTGCCCCAGCGCTGAACGCCTTAAAGGAATAGTACAAGTCCACAAAAACGTGTCAATATTCCTCCATACTCCATACTCCAATGTATTCCAAGTGTCCTGAGTGGGTAGCGTCCAGAATTTACTCGAAACGAAGTCATTTAGAATGTTTTTAGAGCATAAACAGTAGTGTATAGGATTTCCTGAAAGCACGCACATGCGCGCTCACGAGTCTACGGAAGCCGGCAGACCAAACCAGATGAAAGTGCGCATTCAGCGTCTGCTCTGCCAATAATGCAAGCGTAGAAGAAGAAATGTGCTGTTTACCTGTGCAAAGAAAGAAACAACGAAAGAAAAATGTCTGAGGACTTCAGTGTTGAGGAAGAGCATGAGTTCTTTGCCGAGCTGAATGCGCTGGTTTGGTCTGCCGGCTTCCGTAGCGTCGTGAGCGCGCATGTGCGTGCTTTCAGGAAATCCTATAAACTACTGTTTATGCTCTAAAAACATTCTAAATGACTTCGTTTCGAGTAAATTATGGATGCTACCCACTCAGGACACTTGGAATACATTGGACGAGCAGTATGGAGGAATATTGACACGTTTTTTGTGGACTTTTATGGACCTTTCTGCCTCGGGCGCCATAGACCTCCATTATTTGAATGTCAGCAGACAGCAAGAAGCCTCCCAGATCTCCAGATGCATAGAGCCCCACTCCCACAGCCTGCCACTCTGGGTCCCTGATACCCACCAGAGGAGCTGCTGCAGCAATATATTTCATAAAATTTTGAATTTTTATTTGAAATCAAATTATAAAAAAAAAATCCATATATATATATTTTTTAATGTCTTAATGAGGGTTGCTGGGTGGGTGTGGCTGCGCCCTCTATTGAGCAGCCGCCTGAAACGTTCAGCTGCTTGGTGGTTCTGACGCCTGTCGGAGGATCGGTGGGTATCTGGGTCCATCCCGAGATCTGGTTTTTAGAAGCTGGTTCCTCCGTTGATACGACCGTAGATCTGGGTTCGAATCAGCGATCCATGTTTGGAATATTTTAAAGGTTAACGTATAACTACTGATTATGTAGTTAATTTGGTTTCCTGGTTGTTTGGGCTTATGGTCATTTCCTGTCTTCCGCTGTGACTTCCTCCACAGATATGGTGCAGCGCTGCACAGCTACAGGGCTCCACAGCGCCATCTATCAGAGTGTTTTAGGAAAAATGTTTTATTTAAAAAAAAAAATCAATGCTAGGAGCTGATAGATCGATATTATATGGAACAGCTGAAAATGCCGATAATTGCCAAATATACCTAAGAGGAGAAGAAGAAAAGAAGAACGCGCATCAGTGAGTAGCGGAGATGCTCTTCTTCGTCTAAATCCAAAAATGTCCGCATTGTTAGCTACACATGATGTTTTTAAGATGGAATATCACTATTATAAAAACCCTGCTATTCCTGTTATCATTATTCCAGCAATCAGGCCCTGATTGGCGCAATGAATTCCCACGGTTCCTGAATGCAGCAGCTGGGAATACTTTGTCCTAAACTGTCCTTAAATAACCGTCCCCTTCACACCATCTATCCCCTGAGGGATCCGCACTTTGACACTGGGAGAGAAAATCAGCTTGAATTATTTTTTTTTTAAGTTTCAAATGAAATAATTTTTGCGACCTGTATCTGATCTTTCATGACGGCCTGATGAACACAGATCTGATGTTTTCCAATGCGACCGAGGCCACTCGGCTCTGTGGTCCTCAATCCGATACGATCTTTTCTAATGCGACCTGTGTCTGAACAGCCAGGTCGCATTCATCCGACCTGAACGCCATTAATAATCAACAAACGTCTCTATTCTGGGTCTTGCTACGCAGAAGCAGGAAGAAAAACAACAATGATGCAGAGAGCTGTATATTTTTTGAATCCTCTTGAAATAATTGTTTTTAAGGTTGGAAAAGATGCGCTCCAGCGCTACCATCCATGTTTACCTCTGTAAACACAGAGCCCGCTGGCTTGTGATGTCATTGCGTCCTCTACTGCGCATGCGGGACACTTAGGTTGTATGAACGCAGGTCATACAGGAGATCACATACAAGTCGTATATATATTTGGAAATGTGAACGGCAGCGCAGAAAAAATCAGAATTGAGCCTGTAGGCCTGCAGGGTGAACGTTAGCGGCGCTAACTGAGCTCCATATTTGTTGTTTTCAGGAGGCGAGTTCTGGTTCGGCCGTTTCCAGGTCTGATTGTTGGTTCCATAATTAAAATGCTTTCTGAGCGGGTCACCCTGAGCCAGATGTTGCAGATTTCACCGCAGGGTTCTGCTTCTGCCAGAGCTGCTACTAACCATTAACCATTACTAACCATACTGGTTTCATTCCTGCTCTAAGTGAGTCGCTCTGTCAGCTAAAGACACGTTTTAGAGTTTCTATGCTCCTGTTAATGATTAATCGATTCCTGAATGACGATTATTTCAGGTGTTCTGTCAGATGGGCATACCTGATCAGACCAGCATACCCTGTTTATCCCTTTAGTTTAGTAAGAAAATAAACTTTAAAGCACCTCAGAGGGCGCGTATCCCTTTAGTCATTTATAAAAAACAGATTAATTGCTTTCTATATTACAGTTTGGCCATCTGACCTTAAATAGTTTTGTTTGCACACAGCTAAAGGGAAACACGCCCGCTGAGAACAAAACTAAAGGGATAAACGAGTAATAATGACCACGGCTGTGCTGATCTGACAGAACAGCGGCTGATCGACTAGAGCCCAAAATGTTTGGTTCTTCTGAACCCGCTGCAGAACTGAACTCAGCCTGAAGTATCGTTCGCTTTGGGTCCGCTCCATTAACCTGGGTCTGTCCGCAGGCGGGCCGATCCACGTCAGCTTCCTGTCTGGACTCACTCTGGCCGAGGTTCAGAGGAAAAACCCCCTGGTGGTACGAGGGGGGCGCTACAGGCCGCCGGAATGCGAGGCCCGACACAAGACGGCCATCATCATCCCCCACCGCAACCGAGAGCATCACCTGAAGTTCCTGCTCTACTACCTGCATCCGTTCCTGCAGCGCCAGCAGCTCAGCTACGGGATCTACGTCATCCACCAGGTGAGTCGCGCTCACTGCTGGACAGCTCCCCCTGGTGGACCCGAACCTTTCACCATTCTACTGGTTTTACTGGTTCTTCAACCTGCTGATGGTTTGATGCCAGTCAGACTGATCATTCTTTTCCAGCATGCAGATTTGGCTCCAAACTTAGAACAGAAATATTTCCCAGCAGCCTCTCTGTTTCCCTCTGATAAACAGGGAGCACCTCCAAGCAACACGTGGGGGAGGGGAGCCGTTGCTTTGCAGCCGAATAATGGATCTAAATCTCCAGGATTTTTATCTAATCAGTGAAATATGGATGAATCAGAATATTTTTTTCTTTATTCTTTTGGTGTAAAGGCGGGAAACTACACCTTTAACCGCGCCAAGCTGATGAACGTCGGTTTCCGGGAGGCGATGAGGGAGGAGGACTGGGACTGCCTGTTCTTCCACGACGTCGACCTCATCCCCGAGGACGACCGCAACCTCTACGTCTGCGACGACAACCCCAAGCACGCCGCCATCGCCATGGACAAGTTTGGCTACAAGTACGTCCCTGAGAACGCCGGTCAAAATGTCGGCCGCCGCTTCTGAGCAAGACTCACCGCTCGGCTTCTACCTGTTCTCTCCAGGCTTCCGTACAAGATGTACTTCGGAGGAGTGTCCGCTCTGTCGCCGCTGCACTACCTGAAGATGAACGGCTTCCCCAACAACTACTGGGGCTGGGGTGGCGAGGACGATGACATCGGAGTCAGGTGAGGGCGGTTCTGAGGTTCTGACGGACCGTCCCGTTCAGGTCCTAGAGATAAATGGTTCTGTTTCTGTCCGCTCAGAGTGTCTCTGGCCGGGATGTACATCAGCCGTCCGTCTCTGAAGGTTGGCCGCTACAAGATGATCAAACACAAGCTGGACAAAGGCAACGACATCAACCCAAAGAGGTAGAGTTCATCCGTTACTGGATGAGTTAACTTCTGTTCCCTTTATGTCCCTTTCCTTGTACGTGTGAAATGTCCCATGCTCCTGAATGCACCATAGCTATCTGACGCTCGTGAATGCATCACACTGGTCTGTGAACGCTGTGCAGAGTAGATGCATGTTTGATTTTCCGCTTCAGACGAAGCTTTGCAGTTTGAAAACTATCACTGTTTATTGTTGTGTGTGAAAACAAGAGACTAGAACAGATAAATCAGCCGAACCTCGGACACAATGTTTGGATTAAACGTTGTTCATAACAGCCGGACGTTTGTAAATGAATCTGCAAAATAACCACAATTGTTTTTCCCACTAGAGGAATATTTAAACGTTTTTATATCATTAATATAACAACAAGTAGCTCCATTGGTCACATTTTAATCAGTTTTCCTCGTCGATAGTCGCAGTTGTTCAGAGCGAGGCGCACTCCCGCCACTGGGGATGCATATCTCTGCAGGGATGCACTTTTCAGCATAACACCGGACCGCGGTCCGCTAATCCGTGACCTCTGCATTAAACCGAAGCCAAGAGTAACGATTGTTTTAAAATGTAAGGAATAGAAAGTACAGATACTGTGTGAAAATGTAATGAGTAGAAGTCAGAAGTAGGAGGAAAAATAAGTAATGGAGTAAAGTATAGATCCTAAAAAGTGTATTTAAGTACAGTAACAAAATATTTGTACTTCTCTACTTGACACCTCTGTCCACCCCAACAATCCCGCCCCCTATGATAACCGACCAATCACATTCACTTTATTCACTGGTGTAAGTCGGGCACCACTGGGAGAATTCAGAAATGTAGCGGTTAGAACAGCCGCTTCCCTACGACTTTAACTGGATCATTACTGCAGCTGAAGGTTGTTCTGTGATTCTGGGTTCAAACCAAAGATGTTCTGAGCATCAAAAACGCTTCAATGCAGAAATCTGGACTCTGCATCAAACTGTGGTCCAGTTGCTTTGCTGCTGGGCGCTAACCCTTCCGGTTAGAGAGCCGCTTGGCTTTATTTACTTTCAGTTGGAAAAATAGTTTTAAGATGTGAGAAAGTCCACCTCCAAACTGTTCATCAGGATTATAATCCCACTATAATCTGCAGTCCAGACCTCCAGTATCCCGCCGCTGTTGTCAGACCAGCATACCTATAGTCAGTACGAATGCGCAAGATGTCAGGTTTGCTTTTATCTTTAGTTTTGTTAAAAAAATAAACTTTAAACTACCTCAGCGGGCGTGTTTCCCTTTAGTCATGGTCAAAAAAATTACTTAATTTTTGGTGTTTTTTTAAAGCATATGGCGATCTGACCTTAAATAGTTTTTTTACATGACTAAAGGGAAACACGCTCGCTGAGGTGGTTTAAAGTTTATTTTTAGAACAAAACTAAAGGAATAAACGGTTATTAACTATGCAGGTTTTCTGCTGGTCATTGAAAATCATTAAGAAATTCAATTATTTTTTTAATTAAGGCCTTAATTGCCATTAAAATTCTTTAAATGTGATTATTGTGGCATTTAAAATGCTTTATAAAAAAAAAAAATGTTTATAAAAACAACCTAGTCAGATATATGCTATTGTGATATATTTCTGCAGATCTTCTTCCGGTTGATCATAAATTTTTATGTTCAGAAAAAACGTGAACGCAGCGTTAGTCTGCATCATAGTTTAGCTTGATTTTATCAAACGGCGGCGATCAGAACCAGAACCTGCTGCTTTAGATCCATTCAGGAGAATCTCTTCTTCTGTCCTCAGATTCAACATGTTGGCAAAAACCCGTCAGACCTGGAAGATGGACGGCATGAACACGATGGAGTACGAGATCGTCTCCAGGGACTACCTGCCCCTCTACACCAACATCACCGTCAACATCGGGACAGAGTCCGGCCTGCGCTCGCCTGCGCAGCCACGCAAGCCTGCAGAGAAGCCTGCAGAGAAGCCTGCAGAGAAGCTTGCAGAGAAGCTTGCAGAGAAGCCTGCAGAGAAGCCTGCAGAGAAGCCTGCAGGAAACTCCTCAACCAAACTCCAGAACAAACCAGCAGCTGTGAAATAATCCTGTGATCTGTGCAGATGGGCGATCAGCTGCTTCAGGCTGAGGACGATTGGTTTCAGCTAAAATGAAGCGATGGCTCCCCCTTGTGGCTCCTTTAATCCTTCATATCTTATCGACGTTCCACAGGAGCTACAGGAGGAGCTGAGTTGGACTCTGTGAGTTTGTGTGTAAGGCGCTGTAGCCGCTGTATAAACCATGAGGCCTTAGAATCGTGTATTTCTCTATCTTAGATCTTATTGTTTGTAGAACGAGTGTAAAGGAGGAGTTCCTGACCGACTGTTTCTGCTCCTGAAGCAAACGTCTCCACAGTCGGCATTTTTTTCTCCTTCCTGGCTGACCAGCAGGGGGAGCTGCTGACACATGTTGGCTGATTTCAGATGAAATAGACGCCCAATATTCCTCCTCCATCTTTTTCCTTTCATGCATCTTTGACTCTGACAGCTGATTGTGTGAAAAAGTGTTTTTAAACCTGTGAGTTTGGCAGAAAAACCAAAGAATCTGCTCCAGATCAGGAGCTCTTCTAACTGTGGTGATGGACTTTCCTTCTCCCCATCGAGGAGGCGGAGCTCCAGGATCCTGCAGACGCCTGCTCGTCACTCATCAGGTCATGGGCCTTATCTGATGGTCAGCGTCTTATTGAGCATATCTGGATCAGATGGGCTGAGACGTTAAAGCGAAGAGCGAGGATGTGACTGAATAAAGCGAGCCCTCCCAGGGTTCTGCTGCTGCTTGTTTCTGTTCTCCTTTCTGACTTCTGCACACTCCACAGTGGCCTTATACTCCTGAATAAACTGATTCAGCGTAACCCTGCTCTGCTGGCCTTTTTATTGATTAATCTCCTCTGCATTCGTTAGCTTAGGCCAGACGTACACTATGATTTATTGCCCCACTTCTAGCCTGATGGTGCGTGGTGTAGTGACCAGGGGCTAACGAGGGGCGATCAGCCTCTAACGACGACCCCCCCCCATCAGGAATCAGAAGGTCGGGAGAAAATCCAACATGGTTGAAATTCAGTCGGCCGTCGTAAGGTGGTCATGGGCAAATCTCTGTGGGCAAACAAGGATTCTTCTTCTTCCTCTTAGATGTAAACCCAGCAGCATGGCGGGGGGGCAATGAGTGAAATGGAGTTCTTTCTGTCAAACTGTCAGACCGTAGTAGCCACGTTAGCTCAGCCATGTCTCTGTCCAAATACGTCGTCTCCTTTTCTTTTTAGGGCTTTCAGCACTAAATCGCCCAAATATCCAAGGCAGCGCGTTTCCCTCTAGTGAGCTTCATGTTCCTCTGCTACTGGTTTGGCTTCCAGATAGACGAGTCCCAGTAGCGCCATCTCACTGCGGAGCTGAGTCCCACCTGGTTTTTAGACGTACAGCGTGAGCAGGTAGATCGCATCAGAGCGTCGGGTCGCACAGCGTGAGAACAAACATCGTGAGCTGAGAACTTTTAAACCTGCAGTTTCATCGTACAGTGTGAGCTGCAACTGCGAGCAACAATTGAAAAAAATTGTTTGAAGGTGGACTTTCTCACTTAGAAACGTGTTAAAACTATTCTTTCAGCTCATAAAGTAAATAAAGCCGAGCTGCTCTCTAGCTGGAAGCTACAGAACAGATAAACAACCAGAGCGTTGAAGCAGTGAAGCAGCTGGACCACTTTGATCCAGAGTCCAGATTTCTGTTATGTGTTTTTGACGCTCGTAACGCGTTCAGTGTGAACGCAGCAATAGATTGCCTTTATATGTTCAGCAGGATTTTAATGGTTTAAATTTGGTCGGGTAATAAATAGCACATATTAAAGGTTGAGAAACAGAACACATATTTATTGCTAATTTACATGGACTTTGAAAAGTTCTGCCAGAAATTCACAATAAAACCCTGGACTGATGGATGGCCCTTTAGACATAATTCATTAATCTCATGAATATATTAATGATTAATGTATTATCAATATTCACACACCACTTCCAGCCTCTGATTCTTTCTTAAGGTAAGTTCACTCTAAAACTCAGAGCACGCTGTGAAACAGGAAGGCTATAGATCCTAAATGTCATTGGTCTCCTCGGCTGTGATCTTCTATTTCTCAGGAGAAACACCAGAGATCCCTCCTGCTGCACAACTGATCAGACAATAAAGTAAAGGAAGTAAAACAGAACCTCCTTCCTCAACGTCTCACTGAAGTTTGGTCCAAACTGAACGGATGGGGACAGCTTCAGCACGTTTCAGAGAGGAATCACTAATTACACGATGGAGACGTGAACATAAAGGACATAAAGCTGAAAGCAGCTGCAGCTTCATTGTGGTAGATCTAAGCGTTTAGAGGGAAAAAGCAGCCAGAGACACCAGCAGGGTTGAGATGATCCATGATTGGTGGCGTAATGATCTGCAGCCGTCCCGGACCTCCTGAGGATCGATGGTCACCTGCAGGAAAATAAACAGATCATCATCAGTGGGTTTGAGCGGCTGACTGGTCAAATATTAGATAAACGCAGCGAGAAAAGAGCGTAAAGCAGGAGAAGGACGAACTGGGAAGGTTTTCTGGAGGTAGAACAGCAGCCCCCCCTCTCTGTGAGAGGGAGCAGCACATTACGGATTTTTTTTCAAACAAATTGTCTGAAATGGTCGCATGGTTTTAAGCCAGACGTACACTGTACGATTTTATGCCCTTTTTTCTGGAGGATTTTCAAATCGTGCAAGAATTTTCCCATCGGGTCGACTTCCAGCCTGATGGTGCGTAGTGTAGTGACCAGGGGGCGATCAGCCTCTAATGACCCCCACCATCAGGAATCTTAAAGGAATAGTACACCCAAAACATGATTAGCCTTCATTTTCTACTCCCCCCCATGCTGAACAACACTCTGGAGTACTTTTTTGATATCTCAAATGCATCTGGAGATCTGGGAGGCTTCTTGCTGTCTGCTGACATTCAAATAATGGAGGTCTATGGCGCCCGAGGCAGAGGGGTCCATAAAAGTCCACAAAAAACGTGTCAATATTCCTCCATACTGCTCGTCCAATGATTCCAAGTGTCCTGAGTGGGTAGCGTCCATAATTTACTCGAAACGAAGTCATTTAGAATGTTTCTAGAGCATAAACAGTAGTGTATAGGATTTCCTGAAAGCGAGTTCACGAGTCTACGGAAACCGGCAGACCAAACCAGATGAAAGTGCGCATTCAGCGTCTGCTCTGCCGATAATGCAAGCGTAGAAGAAGAAATGTGCTGTTTACCTGTGCAAAGAAAGAAACAACGAAAGAAAAATGTCTGAGGACTTCAGTGTTGAGGAAGAGCATGAGTTCTTTGCCGAGCTGAATGCGCTAGTTTGGTCTGCCGGCTTCCGTAGACTCGTGAACGCGCTTTCAGGAAATCCTATACACTACTGTTTATGCTGTAAAAACATTCTAAATGACTTTGTTTCGAGTAAATTATGGACGCTACCCACTCAGGACACTTGGATTACATTGGACGAGCAGTATGGAGGAATATTGACACGTTTTTTGTGGACTTTTATGGACCTTTCTGCCTCGGGCGCCATAGACCTCCATTATTTGAATGTCAGCAGACAGCAAGAAGCCTCCCAGATCTCCAGATGCATTTGAGATATCAAAAAAGTACTCCAGAGTGTTGTTCAGCATGGGGGGGAGTAGAAAATGAAGGCTAATCATGTTTTGGGTGTACTATTCCTTTAAGGTCGGGAGAAAATCAAACATTGAAATTCAGTCGGCCGTCGTAAGGTGGTCGTGGGCAAATCACTCAGTGGGCAAACAAGGATTCTTCTTCTTCTTCCTCTCTTCTGTAAACCCAGCAGCATGGCGGGGGGGCAGTGAGTGAAATGGAGTTCTTTCTGTCAAACTGCCAGACCGTAGTAGCCACGTTAGCTCAGCCATGTCTTTGTCCAAATACGTCGTCTCCTTTTCTTTTTAGGGCTTTCAGCACTAAATCGCCCAAATATCCAAGGCAGCGCGTTTCCCTCTAGTGAGCTTCATGTTCCTCTGCTACTGGTTTGGCTTCAGATAGACGAGTCCCAGTAGCGCCATCTCACTGCGGAGCTGAGTCCCACCTGGTTTTTAGACGTACAGTGTGAGCAGGTAGATCAGCGTAAGAACAAACATCATGAGCTGTGGAGATTTAAACCCTGCAGTTTCATCAGACCCAAACACCTTGGAGGAATCAGTCTGCAGAGATTTCTTGGCCCAATCTTCACGTTTTGTCTCGTGCGTCTTGTTCAAAGGTGGCCTTTTTTCAGCTTTCCTTACCTTGGCCAGGTCCCTGAGGATTGAGCACCTCGTGCTTCTCGGCGCTCCAGACATGTTGCAGCTCTGAAATATGGAACAACTGGTGGCTAATGGCTTCCTGGCAGCTTCTCGCTTCATCCTTCTTAATTCATGGGGAGTTATTTTGTGTCTTCCAAGACGCTTCTTGCGCCCCTGTTGGCTATTTGCCATGAACCGCTTGATTGAGCGATGATCCCGATTCAAAAGCTTGGCAATTTCCAAACTGCTGCTCCTCTCTGAACGACATCTGACCATTTTTGACTTTTCAGAGTCTGTAAATCTCTTTTCTGACCTATTTTGCCAAAGAAAGGAAGTTGCCTTATAATTAAACACACCTTATATAGGGTGTTGATGTCATTAGGCCACGCCCCTTCTCATTAGAGAGATGCTCACCACCTGATTTACTTAATTAGTAGTTGGCTTTCAGGCCTTTACAACTTGGAGACAACATGTATGAAAATGATGATGTGGTGGAAATACTGATTGCCTAATAATTCTGCTCACAGTTTATAAGATGATGATGGATTCGCTCTGGCCACCATATGTCAGCATAGGAATGTCCATTTTGGCTGATCCACACAGAACAGTGAGCAGATACAGAAATGAGCCGATGTAAAAGTTATTTAAAACAGAAAATAAAGTAAAAAGAAATTTTCTTCAACAGCGGCTTTGCTATATTAGCTGTGATCAGCGGGTAGAAAGTAGTTAGAATCTATGTTGAAGTGAGAAAGTCCTCCTGAAAACATGGTCTGTGCAGTCAGTTCATCCAGATTACCATCCTGCCTTCAAAGATTATTTCTCTGTGGGAGCCGCTCAGACCCCCACATACCGGCGCTGCGCTGTCACTGGGAATCCCCAGCAGCAGCTGCCTCAGGCCCGCTCGCCTCTCCAGGGTTTTCCCCTCCTGTTGGTGGCGGCTGGAAGTAGATGTTAGCGTTTTTCAGGTCTGTGCTA